GAGAAATGTCTATTTAGCTCTTTGCCCATTTTTTAATTGGGTTGCTTGTTTTTTTCTTGTAGAGTTGTTTGAGGTCCTTGTATATTCTGGATATTAATCCTTTGTCGGATATATATTTTGCAAATATTTTCTCCCACTCTGTTGGTTGTCTTTTAGCTCTGTTAATTGTTTCTTTTGCTGTTTAAATGCCCAAATATTTTAATTGACAGTCCCCTGACTCCTCAAAGATAAAAATCATTCTTGCATAATCATTAAGAAATAAATACCAAATTCTGTGATTTAAGTAACAATTTTTCTTGACACATCTAATCATGGTTAGTCCTAACAGTAACTGTAAAATCCTGCAATTCCCTACATTTTTTGGACTTCTGACAAGACATTTTCTTTTTGATCTCTTTGATAAGTGCTATAATACATATAGCACAACTAAAAGATTGTTTTGAGAGGCTTGGGGGGTAAGTTTGGACTGAGTGCCCTTTAAGATCAACACAGATAATCAAGAGGAGTAAAAGAAAAGCAAGTTCAGTCTTTCACAATGATATTAACTAAAAGCTTCAGGAAATGTTTTTTCTGAATCATTCCAAAGACTGTAGAAAACATTTTTTTCTTTAAACATATGAAGTTACTATTTCATTGCTATGGAATAAAATTTCACTTTATTTCATACCAAAATATGGGTGTATTTCACAGAATACATAACAAATCCATCATTACAATTCTCATGCAATTCTCCTATGAAGTTAACAGAAAAGCTTGAGTAATAATTTATAGATGAGGCGACTGAGATTCAAACTCTGTCACAGGGTTAGCAAGCAGGAGAATATATTAATACTCTCAGTTACCCACTCACTCACAAAGATGTATGTCCTTGTGTTTCAGGGGTCTCATAGTCTGGTTCTGGAGATAATGAGTATTCTGACACCTAATCCACTACTCTGTCTAGTATTACAAGTGGAACAGTTGGGATCTATTTTTCACAGGCTCAAAGATGCAAAGACTATCTGAAGATAATCTGCACTCTATTAGAAAAATGTCTAAACAGTATCCTTCCCACTTTATAATAAGATTTCCAGGACTCCTTTTCTTTAATGTTTTAGATAGATAGATTGGACTAAAATAGTGGTTTTACATTCTTCCCCCATCCACACTTCAACACACTTGACTGGCATTCTCAAAATTAGGTACACATCTCTGCTTGCTACCTGTAAATCTAACTACCCCTTTTTCTTCCACATTAAAAAAGAATTTGGATATGTAAAACATAGTTATGTGATACTGTAGAGATAAGAAAAAAAGAATAAATTTATTGTTAAGTCAATCATTCAAAAACTTTGGTACAGGGTTGGCCGGTTAGTTCATTGGTTAGAGCACAGCCTTAAAACTCCAAGGTCATGGGTTCAGATTCCAGTACTGGCCAGCTGTCAAAACAACAACAACAAACTTTGGTACAGTATCAAAAGAAACAAATTACTTGGAACTCATAACTAATATTGCCACATCTGAAACACAAAACTGTTGTATAAAGAACCATATAGTCTAATATGTATAAAAATAACATATTATACAATTTTCATAATAAATCAATAATCAGAGTAAAAAGATTCAATCTGCGGTATGACAGGGGAGACTTGTTTCCAGACAACTACTTAGAGGAAGAATATGAATATAAAAAACTAATTAGATGTCAACATAGGTATTCCCTCGTGATAGTTCAGAAACTTGATGTAACTATAAAGTCTTGATTTTCTTTTCTTTTCAAATATTTTTTCTGAGATTTATAATGTTATCCCTATAAGGACACTTCAAATTCTCACCCCTCCCCCCAAAAAAGTGGGGAACAAAGTATGTTCTAACTCAATCACTCTTCTTGCCAAGAACATGACAATAATGGGGCTCCATGGAGCTCTTAATGCTTTCACTGGTATTAATCACAATTCCAAATGTTCCTGGCCAGATTTCTATACCACTTTAACATCACAATCTGCTTTGGAGAAAATCCAGACAAATACCTGCTCATGTCAGTCACCAGAGTAAATGCAAGTTTCCTAAATGCTTTCACTGGTATTAATCACAATTCCAAATGTTCCTGGCCAGATTTCTATACCACTTTAACATCACAATCTGCCTTGGAGAAAATCCAGACAAATACCTGCTCATGTCAGTCACCAGAGTAAATGCAAGTTTCCTACATTATCCCTCATCACCTTGATTTGTACTCCTATATGTTATGTATAAATAAATGTGTGCATGTACATAAATAAATACTTTATCTTGGGCCCTAGGTACTAGTTATAATCTTTTGTTCATGACATTAAACTATCATTAGACTCTGGTATGACTTTGTTAAACTGATTTATTTTAAAATTTTATAAGAAATACAGGTGTCACCTTCCTACCTAAGAAGCACATACCAATAACACATATCTATCTACATGCTCCTTCCATGTCCAATTCCCTTAACTATCTTTAAGAGGTAAGCAGTAACCACTCTCCTAAACGTTGTGTTTATCATTCCCTTATATTTTATTCCATTTTTGACTAAAGAGTATCATACTGTCTATAGTCTTTGGCAACTGCTTTTTTTACCCAACATTTTGACATTAAAGGCTTCATCCATGAAACTGTAGGTAGCCGCAGTTCACTCATTTTCACTGCTTGCATGTGTATTTTCTCTTCTATGAAATACCTTTAACATGCTCATTTTTCTATTTTTCTTTTTTCTTTGGAAGAGTTCTTTATACATTCTGGGCACAAATTCTTGATCACTTAACAACTGTTGCACATATCTTCCCTATTTTTTTTTTTCTTTTTTCTTTGGAAGAGTTCTTTATACATTCTGGGCACAAATTCTTGATCACTTAACAACTGTTGCACATATCTTCCCTTGCTGGGTCCTCTTTTCAATTTTAGATATCTTTTGATGAACAGAAATTCTTACTTTATTGTGGCAAAACTTATCCATCTTTTCTTTCTATGTACCTTACCTAAAAAATCCTTGCCTATCCCAAGCCAGAAATCTATTCATGCCAAATAAGAGAGATCAAAATTCAGCTATTTTTTTCATTCTAAAAGCTTTAAAGTTTTGCATTTCACATTTAAGCCCTGAATTCATTGAATAATGATTTTTGTAAATGGTGTACAGGCCCAATTTCATTTTTTCCCCAAACTGATAACCAATTTTCCAGCTCCAATTATTAAACAGTCCTCATTTATTCACTGACTTACAAAGCCACCACTGTCATATATCAGAGTTCTACAAAAACAAGGATCTACTTCTGGATTTGTTATTCTCTTTCATTGGTAGGTATGTCTAAACATGCACGAATCTTACACTGCCCAAATACTACAAAATATCTTGCCTGTTAGGGCAAGTGCCCATGTACCCAGCTCCCATTTTCTTCTTCAGGAATGTGTTGGCTATATTCTGAACCTTTGCATTTCCATATAAATTTTATGAGCGATCTTTTCCCCCAGCATTACTGGGGTATAATGACAAATTAAAATTGTACATATTTAAGGTAAAATGTTTTGATATACACATATATTGCAAAATGATTATCAAGCTACCAAGCTAATTAATGCACCCATTGC